AAAATTTTCAAATAATACATTTTCGATACCTTTTATATCATTCTTACTTAAAATATAATTAGTATTACATAAATTATTCATACCAAGACTAATAAATTTGGCATTTACTCTAAATTGCCAATTTTTTATTCTATCCTTTCGATAGGAATTACTCCATAAAAAAACTTTTTTTATATTAATAACCCTAATGATCTACTAGCGGATTTTGCCACCGCTTTTGCCATATCATCATAACTCAAAAATTCAGTAAAAAGTAAACCAAGATAATTATAATGAGATACAGTATCTATTTTTTTTACCATTAAATAAAAATTCTAGGCACAGACTGTGTTCTAAAATGTACAATGTTTGACTTATCTAAATTAACTGTCATATCATTTTTATTGCACCATGTATTGAGTGTATCTAACAGTTTTTGTAAATCTTTTTCATTTTCAGTTAAAAATACAACATCATCTGCATACAATAATATACAAACTTTATCATTATCAACATTAATACCAATATTTAACCTTTTGATATCATCAATTAAATCATTTATAAAAGTATTGAACAATAATGGCGATAATATACACCCTTGTTTTAAGCCACAATTTACGTTAAACCAATCAGTAAAATTACCGTTAATCTTAACACAAGACTGAACATTTCTATACAAAGAATGTATTGCCTGTAGCATTTTCGAACTTATTCCTAATGACTGTAGTTTACAAAACAATAAATCTCTATTAATCCAATCATAGGCCTTTTTAAAGTCAATAAATGCAATATAAGTTGAAAGTTTTCGAAGTTTTCGTGTTTCAATAATGTTTGTTAAAGTACTTATATGATCCAATGTATTTCTACCTTTTCTAAAGCCATTTTGCTCATCATGCAGGAAGTCGAGGTCATCAAGTTTGTGTGTTAAACGTACATTTAGAACACCACAATAGAGTTTATAAGAAGTTTGCGCTAAAGTCAAACCGCGATACGACAGAGGGTCTCGAGGGTCTGACGTGGAACTCTTAGGAATTGGAGTAATAACACTTTTGACCACATAAAAGGTACCTTCCCGGAGTTATAACAAACATTAAACATTCTAGTTAATGCCATTAATGTAGTCTGATTCTTATAAAGTTCAACGGGAATCTCATCATAACCAGGAGCTTTTCCGCTTTTAGAAGACAGTAGAGCGTTCAAAACTTCATCAACTGAAATTTCACAGTCAAGCATATCATCAAGTATAGATTGATTATTTAAGTCATTATCATAATTATTACAATTTCTATTAAACATATTAGAAAACTCAGATTTCCATTTATATAATATATCAGTTTTATTACACGAAAGAGACCCATCACTAAGTTTCACCTCCATAGAAATACTTTTTTGCCGCTCGTTTCCGAAACCAATTCTACCAATCTTTTTCCAAAATTCCTTTGGATTTTTACAAGAGTTATCCAAATCTTCTTGAAACAAATACCAGTACTGACGTTTTGAACTTTGCACAGCTTTATCAAATACTTTCCGTTTATTTATAAAGCAACTGCGAAACTCTTTCTTTTGATTTCGATTTTTACATTTTATCCATTTTTTTTCAGAAATACACACTTCATTCCAGAGAATTGTTAAATCATCATTCCACCATGGTTTCCTACACTTTCTCTTTTTATTACTAACTCCATCATGTATTCGTATCGTTTTAGATTGAAGTTTTGACGACATTTCGTTTTTTATAACGCTCGCGAAATCTTCGTACACACGGTCAATGTTGTCTTGAGTGGCCTCAGAAGATTCCAAGTGCTGAATAAGCCCATTGATTTCAGAAATAGCAGAACTAGTTACAAGCCAATCATCGGGTAGATTGCGTGTATCATATTTGGTTGTTTTACGTACATTTTGAGTTATATTCAGGTTCTTTGTTTTAATTCCAGAACTAAAATTCAACGTGAAGTCCCATGACAGGAAGGAGTGATCCGGAACTATTCTGGTCAGATCGTATTTACCGATGGCACAAGTTTCATTAATTATTTCGCTTGTTCTAGTTACTTTGAAATTATCGAAACAATCAAGCATTTCGTATGGTACTACACAATAATCTACGACGCTACTACCACGTGAAGATACAAATGTAAAGTCGTTTATAACTGTTTTGCGTCCATTTAAAATACAACAGTTTACGTCAATTAAGAAATCACAAAAAGTACTACCATAACTATTATGATGAAAGTCAATTACATGTCTTTCGGGTAAACTGTCTATTCCAGCAATCGAATCCGACAAATCGGAACATCTACTATTCCAATCGCCACACAAATAAAACGGAGACCCTTGAGGAAGGGTGTAGATTTTTGACATTAAGGTTTCAAAAAATTCGTTCACGTTTACTGCCCGTGTGGAGTTTTCAGGTGGCAAATATACAATACAAACACAGAAAGCGTTCTGTAAACAGTTTTTATCCTCCAATCTCACCCACAATATTCCATCAGTATCATTGTCAATTATTTCAACATCAAATTGACTGCAAATATCATTGCGAATTAAAATTCCGACCCCACCAGAACCAGTTTTCGCACGCACGTGAATGTTTTTACGATTAAAACCGAACCAGTTATAACCATCCACTTCAATGCCTTTATTACCGGTCAAATGCGTTTCCGCAATTCCAATCATATGCAGATTATAATATTTAAAACATGAATCTAAAAAGTTAAACTTGTCACTATGTACATTGGTATTCCATCCATTAACATTCCAAAATCCGCAAGATAACTAATGTCCACCTCCTCTACCGGAATGCTGACTTCTGTCGAAATGCTGACTTCTGTCAAAATGCTGACTTCTACCACGACTGTAGTTCCCACGACCACGTCCGTTATAATTTCGACTTCGATCGTTATTGTTCGATTTCACATTTCTGTCTTGTTGATTTTCAAGGTGTTTTGGTGATGTGTTGTTTACGGACCTATCTACTTCACCTCTCTGACTGTTTTTATCGTATTTTGGTTTCACAACTGTTCCCTTGATATCTAACTTATGTTCGCCAATAGTTTTCACAATATGCTTCAGTCTAGCATTTAAAATCCGCTGCGCATTAGGAATTGAATGTTCAATGAATACATTATTAAAATTCCGAGATTCTTTTAAGCTACTCTTTTTCTCCATCACTTTTCGCTTGTCTTCTGCAGATGCAAAGCCAACTGCAACAACACCATGTTTTCCGGGGCGATTATCAAATTTACGCTCCGCCGATATAGGTTTAACATCCTTTAGTCGCAAACCATCCTTCATCAATGCAGTTGCATTTTTCAACACATTTTCGGTTTCGGTCTGCGGTAAATTTCGCACAACAACAAGCAGCTTTTCGTCGTTTACAACGGATTTCTGTTTCAATACATCTGCATAAGATTTTTCAAGACTAGTAACTTTATCCGATACTACTTTAATATCCTCTTGAAATTTATGGGTTACCTTTTTTAATTCCTCAGACACTTTGATATCAATTAAGTTTGCAATTTGAATAGGAATACTTGTTTCGATACTATCCATCCTTTTGGTAATAATGTCAACAAAATTATTTAAACCACTTGTTAATCCGATCACTAGACCTTTTAATTCACTAATATCACTTTTATTAGAGTCTGAAGAGTGTTCACTTGAAATGAAATTCTTACTACACTGTGGTGAATCCGTTAGTCGAATAATATCATTCGCATTATCTACAGTTGTCGGTTTCAATTTCTTGACACTGTTTAAGGGGGAATCTGATTCCAATCGCCTTTTTGCCCTTCCATTACTATAGTTTAAGTTACTCACGATTCCTTCGGTGTGGACATCAGCTTTTGTGACGATTTCATTTACTTTGTGCGGAACCATCACCGACTGTACGTATGTGTCTGCTGCGCTCATATTCAGTGGATCAAATTCTGACATATCGAAACTACTCATTATTGCACTTGTTCAGTTCAAAAACATATAATCCCACAAGTAATAACGCATATAAATGTTCTTGAATCGATATAATCAATATAAATCAATATAAATCCCAACTAAAATATGTTTTTTTTTCAACTTTTTTCTCTCTCTAAATTTTTCGCTGTTTTAAACTTGGCGCATGCGTAACAATAGATTAGAAGAGTAAACAATGTCCGACACGTATAAGTAAATTACTGTCTAAACTGTTACAGAGAATAAATAATTTAATGAATAGAGTAAATGAATTTAAGTCCTTTGTCCAAGATTATGACACATAATCCGTGTAAAACACTTATGCCTAAATTTACGACAAAGTTCAGAATAATAAAATAAATGCAAAACAAGAATATACATTAAAACAATTGAATTTATAAAATGTTGTTTAAAAACTAATTTCATTGAACAGTTCAAATTGTCCGGTCATAACTAAATCCCACTAATACACAATAAACAATTACTATCAAAACTGGTCTGTGTTCACTGTAATAAATTTAGAAAATTATTTTCTCTAAAAGGTTTTAGTTTAAATTTTAAATAATTGCTGAAATTAATCTGTGTGATTTTTTTAAATAAGTTTTTATTTCGAAGTTCTAGTCATAAAAAATAGAAAATAGCAAAAATTGATATAGTGTGCCTGTGTTTTCTTTTTCTGTCTTTTTTATAAATAAAGGAATAGCATCAGCTTTACCACCCAATTTTCTGTACCCGCTTGAAGTCATGTAGATTTGAATGAAACATCAATTGTAGTTTCAAAACTATCAAAAATGACTCATACATTGTAGGGCATTCATACTGGTCCATTGTATAATTAACTTCATAATTAGAGCATTTTTGTTCAAGGTTCATCTTCTATCTCACTGAAAGTGTCGGAACCATAAGAACTGTGAAAGCGATTATCCATGTGTCATACATTTTTTTTTTGCAAATACTTTTAACTTACTGTAGAGTAAAAGCACCTTTTCTTTTTTCAAAAAAATATACTGCAAAATCATGAAAATCGATTGGAAGTTTTCTGTAAAAAGAAATAGATAATGTTTTTTTCCTACCTCCTTAATTTCTGTACTTGCATCTTTAGCTGCTGCTTTAATCTTGTCAAAGAGATCATTACTGGCATTTAAATTGGTGATTTGTTTTTTAATCCCTTGTTGGTGTGATTCGCATGTCAGTTTGGCAATTTCAAGTGAAGACTGTTCAAGAATATCCCATTTGGCGTTGAAATCTTCCAATGATAGTGCGTCACCTCTGCCAACATGCGCAATATCATTTCTTATATCTTTAATTTTCGAAAAAAGTTGCGGATCACCTGGAGGACTTACAGCACCAAAACACGAACTATGGATGGCATAAACAAGAATTATATCAAGGTCTTCCACTTTGACTTGTTGCCGCGGTTGAAATTTGCATAAACAGTGCTGTGTGATTATGCTTCCTTTCTTTTCCTTATGGTTTGAAACTTCGGTGACAGAGGAGACGTAAAGTTTATTAAATTGATATTTTCCTAAACAAACTTTCCTTTCTGATGGTTTTTGTGCTGCACCTTTACATTCACAACACTTTGTTTTAGGAAAAAATTCGTGGAAAAGAGCATGTTTATGTTGTTTGTTTTGTAAAAATGTATTCAAATCTCCATTTTGTAAGAATTCCCTCTCAAAATAGATATGTACTACAAGCATAACAATTTCATCATAAAACTGTTGCAATCTACCGTAAAGTCTCTCCTTTTCTAGTTTCTCCATGGGTATCTGAAATTAGAAATTATTCATCATATAAACCAAACAAAAGACTACTGACCAGATTAAAATCAGTCAGATAACAATTGTTCTCCATCAACAGGAAGTAAGTTCAAAATTGCCTCCTGAATCATATAACGAACAAGTTATGAATGAAACAATCAAGAAGAAATGACTGAGGAAAATGAAACAAAACGAAGTCAGCAAATAGTAATGGGACAATTTCTCACCAATATTCTGATGTTACACAAACTTTAACTAAAATAATAACAAAAATCGTGTAAAACAATTTTTTCTTCATACATTTAAGTTAATCGGCAACCATGGTGAAAAAAAACGCTTTTCATTTAAATGCGTTATTTCCAATCATAGGTTAAAAAATACAGAACTCACACATTAGATAAAAACAGATTTGAGATGGGAGAAGGGCTAAACTAGAATCCACTTGTAAACCAATTTTGATCTGAAACTGTTAATTTGATTCGATCAGCTCTTAAAAGATTGAACAATAAATTATAAAGTAATTTTAAGTCTCTCTGTCAATTTTCAGACATATGCACTGTGGTACTAATACTGTTCAGACAATTTACCTACAATAAATTAAGAACTTTTCAGTGTGTGTTATTTATCTATACACATCAACATCATACTATATTGTCTGAAAAGCTACTGAACAATACTGAATTGACTGCAATCGAATTGTCTGAATAATACTGAATTTGCCGCAATGGATAAGTCTGAAAAGTATTTGTTTAAAACTCAGGTAACTTCAATCACATTCCCCCACCCTTAACACATTTATGTTGCCTTCTCGTTGTCCATCACATTAACTTGTTGGATTATCGTTTAGGTTTTTATTCTGCTTGTTAAATTATTTCGATTTAAGTACCGCGAGAGCTTTTTCGTTATTTTGCTTCTTCATTGTATCGTTTGCTGCTCAGTGTTTGGACAATAAAAATAACCAGGCAAGAATACTAAAATTTGACATCATTTCACTTTATTTGTGGATAAAACATTGAAAAGGGCATCAGCGTACTGATTGTCGGAAATTTCATAAACCTCGTAGAAATACATATTAGAAAAATGAGTCGCATGTGGTCGTCTGTCGAATTTCTAATGCAGTTATAACCCAAGCTGTCTTCTCATGAGGGTTAACTTTGCCATTGAAATTTATCAAGTTTATGTAAAACAGTATTTTCCTTTCTACAATTAACCAGTTTAAAGCTAGCTCGATTAAATGGTTAGAATTACCTCTATTAAGTGCATTATTTAAATACCTGGTATCTGATATAACTGCTAATGAAGTGTTCTAAATAACTAAAATTAGATCTTATTTCAATTCACGCAAACAGGAAGTTTACAGTATAGTTCACTCGAAGGTATAACGTAAAATATCTTACCCAAAATGTGTTCAATACAACTGAGATTTATTCAAATGTTAATTGTTTTTCCATTTTCCAAGATTGAAAACATTAAGACCCCCATAAAAAAACCTAAACAAATAAAAAAATATCAAACTCACAAATAAACAAACAAACCAATATACATATAGAAAAAAAAATAAAACTAAACTAAATTTAACAAACAAAATATGGCGTAAACTACAATATCATTCCGTCATCTATATACTTGTTTAAACAGACCAATTAAGAATATTGAACATTTAAGGGAGGCTAATTATTTTTTTTCTTGTTCACAATTTGGACGACAAAAAGATAATCTGATGAGAGAAACAAAACAAATAGTTGAAGGTTATACACAAGAATGTTGTTGATTTCTATAAACAATTTTGTGTACAACTGAGTTGTAAAAAAATACTGAAACCTCCATTCAGATTATATATAATCACATTCTGAAAAAAGATCCCATTCCGATACAGAAATTGAGCACGGTTATATTAATTAGCGTCAAAATATTTTGAGATCGCCCCTTTTATTAACCTGTTTGATAGCAGAGATTGGTCTGATTACTTTCAATGTAATTGATTAAATTACAATTACTTTGTCATTTGTACGATTAAATTAAATTAATGATTGCACCATTTCTAAATGTAGCTAATTAAATTAATGATTAAATTAGCAAGTAATTATGATTACATCTGATTACAATGAATTTCAAAAAACCCATTTGGGAGATGTTATTGAATAAAGGTTATAACTGTAGCACTTTTTGAGAAAGGATTTTATTTGATATGTAGATAAAAGAGGGTTGGCAAAAACCGGGGTTTAATGAGTATTGCCCAGCCCAGTATGAAATATTGGGAAAACCCGGCTTTTACTAGGTAATACTGGGCAATTCAGGGTAATATCAAATATTAGCCTGAATCTTAAAGAAGATTCAGTGTTTAATTAATATATATGATACATAAAAGATATATATTAGACATAGTTTTTTTCAATTTATAAGTTCACTTGTTTCAGACTGTTATTACAAAGTGTATAAATCTGAGAAAGTGGTGGTCCAGCATCTCTTAGTAGACACAGAGTAAAGATACTCCTACTTAAAATCTATCAAATTGCTGTTCTGTCTAACTTGGTCAAACTGCTAACATGAAGCCAAATAATTTGTTCTGTTTTTTTTTTATATATATATATATAACTTGTATTAAGAATAAACAAACAATTTTATATAAGAAAAATTATTTTAAAACAAATTTTGTTCCTTGCTAAAAATGTTTAAAAAGTTTAAGGAAAATTTACACTTACATCACTAATTGATAGATAATTATTCAGATTATAACACAGATTTGTTGATATAACAATAATCAGCCTTTTCATTTCTAAAAGTGTCCCTAACATGTCCCTTTAGGGTGTCTATTTAGCAATTTGATTGTATAACAATAAAATTTTACAATACACTTAAAAACACTAAAATGCATCTTTTTAAAGTTTGGATTATTTAAACAAAGCTTAACAAATAAGCCAAAAATATGCAAATCATAAATGTAATCTGTGCTTACACATAATCATTGAAGAAAAGGAAAAAATTATTTTTTCCACTGAAAATGTCTCTCTGAATGTTTGTCTGTATAAAATGTACATATTTAGCTATAATGCTATGAACTACAGCATGTCTTTACAATTAGGTGTAAGAATAAGCTTAAACAATCGTATTGTCCAGTATTTCTCATTCCTGGGAGTATTGCCCAGCCCAGGTTTTCCTGCCCGGGTACCGTAATACTTTGCCAACCCTGTTATTAAATAATAACTTCAAACTCCATCCATTTAATAAACCACAAAGATTCACAACATTTTCTATATACCAGCGAGTTTTACTAAATATACAAGTCATTATGTAATGATGTCCTCACAAAGATCATTAGAATATCAACATCAAATACCCATCCCCTCCCATAAAGATGGCTCTGTAGGATCACGACAAGCACTTTAATTACTCAACTTTACTTTTCCCTAGATGGTATTTTTAATTGATATTTCGGTCATTCTGGTATTTGAAATCGCTCTTCGAACGTTTTTAGGCTTCTTGTTTGTTTGATAATTCCATAATTCGGATCTGGACCACTATTGAAGATTCATTATTTGATGAAACGTGCACATACAGTGCAACAAAATTGGTTTCAGTAATTAAACATTTCGACTGCTATCATTAATGAGTGAAACTTTTCCATTTCTTTAATATGATTTTTTTTATATAAAACAAAACAGAAAAATCAGCAGAAAGTCCACAAAATGAAAATAAATTGAAATAATTTATATATATACTCTATGAAAGTATGGCCGACGCAACTAAAATGAATGTTTGAAAGCACTTTGCATGCATAACGGTAATTTTTGTTACGGCACAGTTCTTCGTCTGTGTAGCCACTCCCATAGTACACAAAAGAGGCAACGTCACTGAAGCCTATTGTTCGACATAAGGAAAAAAAAACATCGGCCGAAAATAGGCCCGTGGCAGTCATCGTAGTATTTACAAATCAACTTAAAATCGGCCCGTGGCACAGAAAACGTTAATGACGTGCGTTAGCTAATCAAAATCTGAGAAATATACTAAGCCGGGGATAAGTAGCCTTATTCGTAATCGTATTCCAAGTCCGACAGTTATTGTATGCCTAGGACGACAGGTAACTTTTTTGAGAAGGAGCCATCTCAAGGTTTACAATGAGATCAGGCATTGTGGGGATGTATAAGTACCCTGCCACGTCCACTCTGTGTTTTTGTTGGATGTATTTCTATTTGTATCCATCTGATGAGTTAAGCCTTTTTCAACTGATTATTATAGTTTGTTCTTATATTGTACTGTTACACCATTGTCCCAGGTATGAAAGGAAAGGGCGAGGGGTGTTGGTTGGCGCCTTCAAACTAAATAAATAAATAAATAAATAATCTTTATTTCAAGGGGATAATCCCATTAGTTAAAACTAATCTTCCTGAGAGTCCTCAAAATAATAATAACATATTTATAAGTACATACAATATTATAATGATATATTATACAAAATATACAATTGTATCTAGATAATAATGAAAAAGCATATTAATTTGCACAATTGATGAAAAATTTGTAACATTTTGTTTTAAAAGATACAAGTGTATTAGTCATTTTTATTTCATTTGGTAAACTGTTCCATATTTGAGAACCTGAATATGTAAATGTTGTCTTTAAAAAGTTTGTTTTTGGTTTCGGAAGATTTAATAGTTTTTCATCAGCCGAACGTAAGTTATAATTCTGATTACCAATAAAATGAAAGTTTTCTTGTAAATAGTTAGGAACCTTATCATTTAATGATTTAAATACAAGTATTGCCTTTTGATATTGAATGCGTTTTTTCACATTTAACCAGTTTAAACTATTAAACAACAAACTGGATGATGTCATTAAATCGGCTTCTACTATAACCCTAGCAGATTTCTTTAATAACTTATTAAGTTTATTCATTCCACTTTCATAGCATCTTCCCCATATATTGCAACAATACTCAAACAATGGCAGAATATAAGCATTAAAATAAATAATTCGTATATGCATAGGTAAATATTTTCTTATCTTTTGTA